GTTTGTCCAGCAAGTGGTCTCTCCATCTTGTGCCACCTCTGTCCTTCTTCTCCTAAACTGCGCGTGCATATAGCTGTGTCCGAAGTAGTTTGTCCAGCAAGTGGTCTCTCCATCTTGTGCCACCTCTGTCCTTCTCCTAAACTGCACGTGCATATGTTCAGGGATCTTGATGACCTGCTAATCTGACTTCCACCGACACACACCGTTCTACCAGCCCTCGCGTTGCCATTCGTTCTTGTGCTTCTGCACCCGTATGCACCCATTCGTTCTGCGGTCACACCAGTCTCCACATTTACTGCAAGTCTGTACCAGGTTGTGTAATGCAGTAGTCCTGAAAGGAAAAGCATCATTGTGAATATATAGAAATATCTGAACAGGACCTTGTATGTTAAAATGTAATTCCACAAGCCATTGGATTAAATGCAAGACTGGGCTTATTAAATCCTCTGCTAAGTTTTTGTAAGTAATGATATAGGTAGAACTACAGTGAGAAGGGGAAGACCTCAAGCTCTTGGAAGTGAAATGAGGAAGAATAAGATCCAAGTGTTGTTTTGGCATTATCTGTTGTCTTTGGCACGCAGGAGACCTGAGTAGCTGGAGCGAGTGTGTAAGTTGTGTGAAGCAAGTGGAAATGTTTGTTTTCATGAAATACTGGTTCTAGGAGGGAGATAGCAAGGAGAGCTAGGAAAATGGGTCCTGTCTGTCAGGTAATGTAGGTAACATCCCTAGTTTGGATGCTAGCGTAAGGGAACCCTACAAGGGAAGGTGGTTAAGAAAAAACCTCTCCAACCATGTGTTGATCATAAATGAAATTAAAGTTCGTGGGGTTTTTTCCCCCTCACTCTTGGACAACAAATTCAGTGGTTTATATGTCCATAACTACAAAATGAGCACCCAAAATTTTCATTGAAAATAAATTTGGTAAAATGAGCATGATTGAAACCTCTGGGGCAATTGCACTAAAACAATCTAAAATTAGATATCTGTTTGTGTCTAGGAAGCGTGAGTAGGTGAGGAAGAACTGGAGTGTGATCCTTCCTTGTTGTAGAGGTTTCATTAACTTCGAACAGTGGGATATCTAGTAAGTGGGCATCATTATGCCAGAAGTGAAGTGTAGGCTTTGGATCCAGTGCAGTTCCATTAGAAACCACCGGAGCAGATGTGGTGTGCTCAGTATATGTCTAAAGGTATTGTGATTATTTTGTTTGGGAGGTCTTATGCAGCCACTTCCAACATGAAGGGTGCTGTCTCTGGTACCTTAGTATTTTAATGCTGGATCTTCTTTGGGTTATGGGATATGCTGATGGTACAGATATTAATTACAAGATTGGAAGTTGTTAATAGACTAAGTGATAAGCATGAGCAAATAGTGTCTGATGTGCTAATAGATTTATTTGATGTTTCACAACGTTTTCACTTGGACTAACTTCTCAAAAGCTGAAGAAGGGGAAAATGAGCAGCAGTTCTTGAAAACAGTCAGAAACTGATGAGAGTGAGATGTCTTTTTTTAATTAAAACCAAACCAAAACCACCAAAAAAAACCCAACAAAAAAATCAAAACAAAATAAACACAACCACCCCTGAAATACTGCAGTCTAGAATGAGGATGAACTTAGAGGGAAAGGCCCAATCCAGTGCCTAGCATGTACATATTCACATTATTCTGGGTTATTTAGTCATATTTCATAACAAACATGAAGGGAGGTGACTTCAGAAATTTTGTGTATAAAATACGATAAAAGCAAAACTGAAGGGATAGATGACTGCAGAAAGGAGGAAAGGCTAACACCAGGAACCAGTCAGCCCACAGTGATTAAAGGAGAGGTACGTGATGAAGTGTTGGCTTGGGTAGAGGATGGCTTTTTGGGTGTTCTTTTCAAATGGACTAAGTCAGAGCCAGGCATCCAGTGTCTCTTAAGTCTCAGAGGCATGAAGGCAATGCCGTGTTTGTTCTGAAAGCATGAGAACCCATGTTCTACCTTGCCATATGGCTTTGGGGATCCATGTAGAAAGACGTTAGCCAAACAAAGATTGGGGTGTCTTGATCACTCAGAGAGCTCTTCAGTTCTGCCTCATGTTCTCTGCCCTGTGCTTGTTGCAGACTTCTTCAAATTCCTTCTCGTGTTTCTATTCATCTCTTCATGCCTGTCAGCTTGTTCTTGTACCCTGCTGCATGCCCCTTATCCCCTTGCCTTTCTGTTGAACGTCTCCTAAATAACCTCCTCTAAAAAGGCAGCAAAGCCGTGTAGTGCAGTGCTCATTGCTATGGCTGTGTTTGTGCTGGCTGTGTGTTTCAAGTGTAATGAATTTAAATAAAACATTATGAGGATAATAAGTTCTCAAGCTGGTGAGCCTGCAGTTCTTTTCCAAGTCTAGGAGGTTAAAGGAGGGTTTCCCTGACCTGGTAATGTTAAGTTTTAGTAGTCCTAGAAGGAGAAATCATTTATTTGAACCAACATTTGTAACGGCCAAGCCCTGTTAAATTATATGGCAGTTATCCTAACACTCATTATTGTAATGGAGTAATTCATAAAATATTTATCTGTTAGCAAATTAAAAGCTAGATGTATAATAAGTGGTGATTGACAAGGTTTTGTGGAAAATACTACCATTCAAACAAACCTGATAATTTGTTGATGAAAGAAGCTGTGTGAATGTGTTGTTAAAGCACTCATTAAATAGAGGAATTGGCTAATTGGTAATCAGCAATGAATCCATATGTCTCTACTCTGATTTCCAGGGGATTTACATCCTGTGTTTCTGCATGGCAATGTTGAACTCTATTGCCAGTCTGAAATAGCAGTTTAATGTTTAAACGCCTGATGTTAATTGTTGTGAATTGTTTTGTCATTGCAGTTATGACACTCACATAAGAAAGCTTACCAGTCGAGGTGAATTCCCTGTATCCAATATGAAAACAGCAAATAAGTGCTTGGTGTTTGATAAACTCTGATTTTATAAGCTAAAACAGATTATAAAGAGAGACTGCAGAGCTGGACGAAAATAGTGGAAGAGTAGATTTGAAGGCCATGCTTAGCAGAATCCCTGTGGCTTCTCTCTCTCCTTTCATGTCTCAGACCCTCTTTGTTTCTGTTTGCATAGGCTCATAGAAATGTTGGATGTTAGGGGCCTCTGAAGGTCATCTACTCCAAGCTCCTGCTTCAAGTGCCAGTGTCCCCAGCGCTAGATCAGGTCAGTCAAGGTTTCAGGTGACTCTTGGAAACCTCCGGGGATGGAGATGCCAGCCTGGAATCTCCTTTCCCGTTCATATTACATAGGATCAGCATAATCAAACTGTAATGTGCACGAATAAAGAAAGGTGATGATGGGTGGCGAGTATGACTTGAGTGAGCAATGAAAAAATAAGGAAAGAAGCTTGGAAAACTTCAGTCTTGGCAGATCGACTTCAAGGCCAGTGCTACTGTTGGTGTCACTGAAGAATGCCTCCCTGCATAGGTCTGCTTTTAAGACCAGCAGCTATTTCATCTTAAGTTTCAGCAAGAGCAAAGTCTTGGGAAGGCTGTTTAGTTGTAGCAATAGGAGTTTTTGTGCTCGCAGAAGCCTCAAGCCTCTCTAGCATTTCTACTTTATCGGTTAAACCCCAGAAGTACTACTAACTTGGCGGTGAAAGCGCCAGAACCTAAAGCTGCTTCATCTGCATGAAAGTTTTTGTAGGACAGAAATGGTGATAGAGCAGATCAGAATACTTACATGCAAAAGTAATTAATGCTTTCTCACAAGCAGCTCCATTATTCTAGGAAGGAACAAGGGGAACTCATCGCAGCCTATAGGTTAGGACCTTAGTTTTTTGTGCTGGAGAAACTATTGACAAAGTATAACAAAATCACAGCAGACGCATGGGGTAGGTTTTTTTCCTATTAAATAGCAAACTTACAAGCCTGGTGATTGATTTACAGTTTGAAGGTTATCTGTGCAATAAAAAGGGACATAAGCTTATGTGTTTTTAATGAAAGCTTGGATTAATTATAATAGAGCTTGAATTTCTGACACGGTATCTCTGACAGAAGATGCAATTTATGCAGAGACTGTCGAAGTTTCTAAACTTTGGATATTTTGTCTTCTAATATTTTGAATTTTTATAATTCCAGTGAAAGCCATGTGAAATAGTCCTTAGGAATCTGTGTTCTAGAACAGCTACAAAGTGTTCATTTTGACTGATTTATTAATGAAAGGAATGAGGCATTTTTCTGGAAGTCTTAAAATACTTCTGAATATTTCATCCATTTAAAAGTATTTGTTTAAGCTCATTTTTACATTTGCAAATTTTTCCGAGATAAAGAGAAGTATGCAATTACTGGTGCACACTTGCAGGCTATTGTCAAAATTGGCTTTGGGGACTGCTTAAAAGCATTTCAAACATTCTGTCCATTGTTCCAGAGTAAATGGCAAGAAGGAAGAATGTGCCAACTTTCTAAACCAAAACAGAGTTTTCAAGACTAATGTTAGTTTAATAAAAAGCCCTCTCTCTACTGTTCTCACCCCCAGTGATTCTTTTGCAATTTGTTTTCAAGGCAGTACTGCTTTTTAGGGCTGCTTTAGCAACATTAGCCTCCTTATGCCATGTACAGCATTATATAGCCTTCTGTGTTTCTTAAAATGTAGTCCAATATTCCTTTGTTCAAAACACTGTGTATTATCTATGTTATGTACAATGTCAAGTTCATGTTGATGAAACAGCCTTGACTCTCAGGCTACCCTTGGTTTTTGGATATTGCTTTCTAACTCAACACCTAATTGGTTTGGTTTTTTTCTGCATTTTTGTAGGTATGATTCAGAAGTAACTTCTTCAGAGTGGTTATGATTAACTTTCACTTCATCATGTTTTCTGTTAATTAACTGAGATGACGTAGAGCTGTGGTCTATAGCCTTTTCATTGTTGAAAGACACTATTTCCTGGTTTACGTGCTTAAGGTTCTGACAGTGTTCAGGCTCTCACCTAAAATTATGTTTATTTTTCACTTAAAATGTGTTTTTTACAGGTTCTTGAAAGTTTGTGGCTCTGAACTAGTACGTCTTGAGTTGTCTTGTGGCCATTTTCTCAATGAAACTTGCTTGGAGGTCATTACTGAAACGTGTCCGAATCTTCAGGAATTAAATCTCTCCTCGTGTGATAAAATACCACCTCAAGCTTTCAACCACATAGCCAAAGTGGGCGGTCTGAAGCGTCTCATTCTCTACCGAACAAAAGTGGAGGTAGGAAGAAGTATTTTTAACCTTTGCAATAAAGACTTTCAACCTTGGTAGGTTTTTTTATTATTATTAATGAAAAATTGAATTAGAATTCTGCATCTAAATTTAAAATAAATTAAGAAAATTCAAAGGTAGTTTCAAAAAAAACCAGAGGTGGGGTTTTTTTTTACTCAAAATAGCTTCTGGATTTACCAAAAAGGAATAAAAATCCCCTTTGTGTTTTAACTTCTGTGGCAGATTGGTTATTTTTCATCAGCTGTTTTAAGCAATGTAGTGAAATCACAAATGTGGGATCTTTTTCTTGTGTTTTGAAGTTTACTCCAGACAGGCTATATTTGGCAATATAATTGGGAAATTATCCTGCGTAGTAACTTACTGTAATTATCAACATTCTCTCCTCTAGAATGACTTATTAATTACTGGATCCCTACTGTCTTCTTATATTAGTGGCATTTGAGACATGGAACACAAGCTTTTTACAATACTTCTTTTTCTTTACAATGTACAAATGTCTGTCTTGAACAATAACTCAGCTGCCCAAATCAGGGTGTTTGTTGGTTGCTGCAGTGTATTTATTTCCTATCTAGGATGGAATGGGTTTACATGCTGCAGTTGTGAAGACTTGTCGTTTACTACATTTTTTCAAATGTATCCTAGTAAATTCAGCAATTCGAATCAGAAGCAATTCCATTATTTCTCACTAGCTATGTTACTCACATATTACAACCTTGCTACTCTGTTGTACGTGGAGACTCTTACACTTGTTGGTTGTGCTGCTCTTACTGCAAAAGCTCTACTGCTTAGGAGAACTCCAAAATTTGGGAGGGGAAGGCATGTCTCTTCAGGCTTTTGTCTAGCTTTTAGGTCTAGGTTAAACAATTTAAGAAGAGTTTGCTTGTGTGTGTTACTTCTGCTTGTGGTGCACAGCAGTGAGGCTATGACATGGGACCGTGTGGGGTGTTGAGCTGTAGTGTCATCGAAGAATGGAAGTTCTGTCTGCTCGATGTCTGAGAGGCACCTGAAGTTACAGTGCCTTACTGCGTTTAGAAGCAGTTCACACCAAATGCACACGCTACAAAGTCGGATGCGTTCTGTTGTCCCTTTTTGGTAAATCATATGTAGGTTTGTGTCCAAGCTCTCTAGCTAGCTCTCTGTGATGGTGATTTGGTAGCACAGGGTAGTTGTGTTAAAGGGTAGGTTCTCTGGAATGATGGACAGCAGCTGTGGGATATGCGGTGAAGCCAGTGCTTGTTAATTTGTGGTAGTTGCTCTGGGTATTGAAGCAACTATTATTTTCAAACTAAAAAATAAGTTGGTCAACCCTGCTCTGCAGTGCCTTACGTGTAGAGCTGTGAACCAGTACCGTGGGTGTATCTGTTCTGTTCATGTGTCATGGTTTAACTCCGGCTAGCAAAATACTACGAATCTGCTTTCACAAGTCCCCTTCTCCCCCTCCAGTGGAGGGGAAGAAT